CACACACACACACACACACACACACACACACACACACACACACACACACACACAGACACGGAGGAAGGGGACTTACATCACAGCCGCATCCTTCAACGCAGTCTCGCTGCGTTCCCATGAAGGTTACAAATCGAGTTAACCCGTCAGGCTGCGGCGGCTCCAGCCTCGGTCACTCCGGACGCACATCCGACAATTTCAACCCGCGAGACTCCAAATGCCCTCCCGCCACACTCAGACCAGGCTCTGGTTGGCGAGTGATCATTTAAAAGCATCTTTCAGCGAATACAAGGAGACCAAGGCTTGGCATAAGCGAAGGCACCTGTCCCATCCGGCCTGGCCCTCCCTCCTCCGATAGCATCTTCCCTCTGAACAGTCTTGGGCGTCGCCAAGGGGATTCTGAGCCACGTCACGGCCTGAACGGTGTCCCTGGGAGCGCAGGCCTAACGGGGGGGAACGGCTCAAGGGCCCATCTCGCCAGGGGCTGGCACGTGTCTCCTCTGACAAAGAACCAACATATACATGGCCGGTCCCGTGGCAGGGACCACCACTGACTCCGCAGACCCATCCATCACTTGACACCATGGGCCCCTCCGCCACTGACACCACGGACCCGTCTGCCACTGACACCACAGACACATCCCTTGCAGGGCTGAGGGTTCAAGGTGACAAATGCTTGTCCAAGAATCCGAGGGCCCCTGGAGCTCCCTGGACCTTTCAAAAACCATGCTTTCCAACGAACACTGTGCTTTGACTCTTCCTGTTCCCAAAGAGTGACACATCCCTTTGCACCGCAAGACTGAAAGTAGCTCCTCAGCCGGCAAAACAGAAGATGCTCAGATGCGCTGGGGCCTCGGAGCCCTCGCACGGACCCTAGTGCCTCCTCCGGGGAGGGAGATCCAGGCACCCGCGTCTCAGGGCTTTGGACACGGAGAGAATGCATGCTCCCTTTAGGCACCAGTGAAAGCTTGCTGTCAACGCATCTGGCAGGACAAGTTTCCTTTTCGTGCCACCAACTCCAGTCACCACTCTTGCCCAGGCTCCTTGGTCTCGGGAGGCCATGTCCCTCCTACAGGATGCCTTATCACAACCCACAGATCAGCTCACAGCCGTCCATGTTATGGACCTCATGCAGCGAACATCACCCCGGAGTACCTGCCAAGGCACCCATGGAACGTGAGAATGGGAGACAATCCCCTTGGCATCCACTTATAGAGCTGCCGCTAAACTACCCACAGAGCCACATGTGTTCCCGACATCACGGCAAGCACACACCTTTCCACATTCCACTTCAAGACCTGTGGCCAAGTTCCACAGATACTTCCTCCTTCCAAAGAGTCACAGCCGAGGCCTCACAGACAACCCGCCAGCCAGGTCCCCGAGGGTGCATGCTGGGTGTCTGGAAAGAACCAAGGGGCGGAAGTCCACGATGGTTCCCGCCAGCAGCCCAGACCTGGCCCGTGGCTGCGCCGCCAAGACCACGACGCTCTCCCGACGAGAGTCGGCGCTCTCTCCGAGCAGAAAGATACAAACACCCGTGTCCCTACCTCGATCAGGAAGTCCCCGGTCCTCAGGCCGGCTTGCCACGCCACCCCACCTTCGTCCACGGATTCCAGGTACTGCAGGGCTGGGAACGCCGGTGTCGGCGTGAATTCTTCAATGGGTGTATCGGCTGGGAAGACAAGCGGCGCCCTGTTATAAGCCTGGGGGACATTTTCCGAGTTCGCGGTCCCCGACCTCCCCGTGGCACCCTGGGAGAAACAGGCCCCGCGTCCCCCAGCGGACGTGGGTGGTCCGGGCCAGCTCTTCCCCGAGAAGGGCCTCGGACTGCGCTACGGTTCAACCCAAGTGACGCGGCCACTGCACACTGGGGCCACCACCATGTTTCTTGGCCACGGAATAACGTGCTCTGTGGTTCATATCTACACGCCTGTCATTTTCTTTAAAAGCATCAGTGACTAAACATTTTCAGTTCTAAAAATGGAAAAGTCCCTCCCTTACCACACGGAGCTACAGAAACACCACACCGAACCACTTGCCAAATTCACATCTACGTAGACTTGCAACCAAGGGAATTCAACTTGGAACACGGACGGCACATCACGCTGACCCAGTGGGTGGCTACGGATTTGGGATCTGCCATGAGACCTCTCTGTGGCTGGCCGGTCCTCTGTGACACCCCTGTGGCCGGCCTCCCTGGGTGGGCTGGGCCACCGCACCTCGGCAGAGCCAGGCTGGGCTCCCGGGGCCCACCCAGCTGCCAGGCGCGACTCCAGGGCAGAGAGGGACTCTTCTTGGGAGTCATGGGTGGCGGAAGGTGGGTAGGTACCAGATGAAGGTGCCAGCGGGGGCAGGGGAGAGCACATCCCACAGACGATGTGGACAGGGTCCTCTTCTCTCTCTCCCTGGACGGACCACCCCAGGGTGCCCGAGCCCAGGGCAGATGGCAATGCTGGCCAGGGAGGACCCCGGCACGGCACAGAGGCTCCGAGCTGAACTTCCACACGACTTGCCCACACACGTGGTGGGCAGACATTCCCCTCACGGGGAGGCAGTGCCATCTTGTTTTCTCTGGGAAGGGAAGCCCCCAAGTGAAGGGCAGGGGGCGGTGGGGGAGGGGGTGCTGCCACAGACTGCGTCCCCGAGCCTCCCACCACGGGCCACGCAACGTGTGTGCGGCTGACTCGGTCCACGGCAGAGGGGACATCTTGCCACGTCTTGCCTGCAAAGTCACCTTAGAGGCAAGCCTGCCGCCCGTGCCGTGGAAGCCCACTCCCAAACGGGGCAGTTTTTCCATACCAAGTCGGGGCTGGGCCACCCCGGGGATCTGAGCAGGGGAGATCTGAAGGCAGCCACCCTCCGGCAAGAACGAGACCCCAGCCTATCGATGACCCCCACGGTTAAAAATAAAGGTGGGCGGAGGGAGGAGGGGAGGGGGCAGAAAGCCCGTTTGGAGCAGTATTGTGTATAGAAAATTAAGAAAATTCCTTAAGGAAGCCCCAGCGCCTTCTGAGTAGGGCAGGATGTGAACGAACATGGTTGTCTAGCAACCAAGTGCCCCCAGGAAAAAATGCTTATTTAATGCTTCTTTCCGAGCCGGGGAAGAACATTTTTCATGCAGGCGTGCACACACCACACACGCGCGCGCACACACACACACACAAAACATGTGAGTGTCTCCGGCTCCCGGCGGCCGCGCTTACCTTTCGCCCCTCGAAGCACAAATCCGAAGCCTTCACTGCCCTTTTTCTGCAGGACCACCGTCTTCTCCTCGATAACGCAGTCACTGTAGAGAGAATTCCGGGGACAGCGACCATTATTGCAACCCGTCATCATCACCGCGGCTCCTCCGCCGGGGACGTCCATCATCAGAGCCAATTAATCACCCCAGCTCGCCGGATCCGGGCAGCATGGAGACAGCCAGGCAGAGGCTGCGGGAGGAGCGAAGGGAGAGCGGGGTGGCTACCGGGATAAGCCAGCGAGGCCCGGTGTGCCTGGCAGGGGGGGCGCGGGCGGCGCGCGAGCCAGCCGGAGGAAGGAGTCATACATGGTGCCGCGGCCG